ACCTCCCAAGAGGTCACCGAACTTTGTAAATTAAAACCCCATACATCAATGTTTCATTGATCAATTAGAAATTTTTTGCAAAGTTGAGTGACTATCTATGGAAATTTTGGCAAAGTTCGGTCACTATTTAGGGTATTAACGAAGTTCAGTGATCTCCTATGAACTTATTGCAAAGTTCAGTGACTATTTAGGGAACTTTGGAAGTTCGATGACCTCTTGAAAACTTTTGGCAAAGTTCAGTGACTATTTAGGGTATTAACCCGTCTTTCGCGTGATTTATCCTCACAAACAATATCATTCCACAGTCCCATGCCCCTTAGCTTAGGAAATGGATTGTTATATTTTTACTTTTAGATAAAAAAAGTCTCAAAGGAACCTAAAGTATTAATATCGTAGTTTTTAAACGTGCAACCTATTACACACGAATTAGGAAAAATCTCCACAAGACGAAAATATAAAATAGATGCATTATTTATAAGGGATAGAGGACTCGCCGACTCGGGTTTGAGCACAATGAATTTGCTCAATATTGACGAAAAATTGATACGAAGGAATAATGGATCATTTTTCGTTATTTGTGACAAAAATGGGGAGAGGGTAATTAAGGGGGAGTAAGTTTGTATCATTTTGAATGCTTAGCTTTTTTGAGTTTGATGTTTTGTGATATTAATGTTTTAGTTGGTGTTTTGATTAATATTGATATTGTATCTCAATCTAGCTAGCATGATGATGCTATGTCTCAGTTACTATATTTGTTTAACCGTCACACGTTTTTACATTTGGTATTTGAGTTGTTGATTTCAGAAAACATGTTTGAAGAGGAAAGCAAGCATCGATTGAGACAATTGGGTTTTGGGTAGTAGTTTATGTTTCACTTTGACTAGTAATACTTAATTTTGTCATAGAATGTCAAAATGGAAGTTTGTTGGGTTTTATTGTATTGACATGACTTTAAACAAAACTAATGTTAATAAAAGAGTTATAAAAGTCAGGATGTTTATTGGAATGTTGTATAGATGAATTATGAGTCTTTGAATTCGAGTATGGAATAAGGAGGAAAAGTCGTCGAAATTATGTTAGCATGCTAGCCAGTCGCAAAGTCGATGCTCGAACGTTCAAAATAGAAGCACTGTCATAAGTGTATTTTATACACTTATTCGGGGCTTAAATAATGATATTTTGTAGTTCTTTTAATGAAATATAACCTAATTTGTGTTATATTGTATTTAAAGGGTAAAACTCATTAAGAACTGAAGAAAACAAGTTGAAAATAGGAAAGAATGGCGAAATTAAAACTTTTCAATTGTCACATCGAGACATAAAATGAAGAGTGGAGGTTCTACAAACTCAATTAGAGGCAATCAGAAGCTAAAGGGAAAAATCACAAGTGAAAAGGATAAAAAACGCATTGCGAAAAATTCAGGGACCAATTTGCACAATTGACCCCAAAATGTAGGGGTGTCCAAAAGTCCCGAACCGAACCGGACCGAACCGAACCCGAACCGAACCGAGCGGTTCTTCATAAATTAAATACCCGAACGGGTACCCGAATCGAGAACCGACGGGTTTGAGTTGGGTCTCGGGTCTAGACCAAGAACCGAATAAGAACCGAAACTAAATAATTTTTTTATTTTTTATATTGAATTAATTAAATTATTTT